CGGCGGCGTGAGGGTTTGCAGCCAAGTGCCGGGTGCCCCAGAGAGGTCCTCGGCTTTTTTGGGGAATGCGAGAGCCCTGCTCCACCATCCCTGTGCCGCTGCATGGTGCATCCGCAGCCTCACACAAGGATGGGATGAGTCGAGGACTGGAGCTAACGTGGGACATGACTGAGCGCCCTCGGTATCGGGAGACCCAGGAGGAGGGGTCAGGGGGTGGGCAGGCTCCCTGTGTGTATATTTCAAACAACCCAAGGAACCTGCCCTCAAGTTAGTGCTGCCGATGATGCCTGTGCTGGGTGGGCCTGGGGTCCAACCCGGGGTTGATTTAGGCAGCTGAGACCAGCAAAGCTTTCTGCAGTTAACGGCAATGGGCACGGAGCTGTGGTGTCACTGCCCTGTGGCCAGCATTCCCGGCAGTGCCAGGCCAGGAGCTGGCTCCCAATTTTGTGGAAGTCCCCTCAGACAAGCTGGGCTGAGCCTGCCCACTCCAGTCTTTTCAAGTTCCCGGAGGCTCGCCTTCCCAGCTCATTGTTTTTTCCTGCTGGCTGTACGTAGGATTGATTTTTATTTATTTTTTTTAATTTTCTGCGAAGAATCAGATGAGTCAGTCAGTCGCCCTTCCTGACAACGAAGCGGCGCTAGCAAGTGCTGCCGGTTGGGTGGGCTCCAAAACGAGCAGAGGCTCCTGCTGCAGCGAAGCTGATGGTGCCGATGCCACAAGCACTGTGAGGGATGAGGCTGCCCCGCTCTGCCCCGTGGCTGCCTGCAACCTGCATGCCCCCAGCCAGCTGCCCCTGAAAGGAGCCGGGTTGATTGCTCCCACCTGCATGGCACGTTCGCCCTCACCTCCACGTGTGCCTTCTCCTGCCAGGAGGGGTTTGAGCCGGAGCTGACAGGAGCATGGAGGCTGCGGTGCAGGGCTGGATGGGGATCCCCCCATGCTGCAGAGGTAGAGCGCAGGCTGCCTGCTGGCGGGGTGCCTCAGCGCTGGGTTTCAGACACCCTGGTAGGCACCTCCAGAATCCTATGGGGAATCGGGCTTGCCTGTAAGGTGGCTATGAAAGGAAAAGTCTACCAAAGACAGTGTTCGGTGTCAGTCTGAAAGCAGAAGGCGCAGGGAATGGGGTCTGTCTCACCCGGGCTGGGTGCTAGTGGTGTTCCATGTCCAGCCGGCACTAACCTGCTGTGGTCCCGCAGGCAGCAATGCTGCTCGCTCCAGCAAACATTGAGCGCTGTCACGGCATGCAGCGAAGCACGCCCAGCACAGCCTGGGGAGGCTGGCACACAACCCCTATAGCTATTGCATCCCATCCTGGTCTTCTATAGCCCCGAGGCCATCTGCGTGTCCCCCCTGCCACTGTGCCCAGGATGGAGGCAGGTCTCTGTTCCCCTCCAGGGAGGAAGGCGAGTAGGACTGCAGCAGCTGGGGTCCTTTGTCCCAGGGGCTGCAACCTGGTGTAGTGCAGGAGATAATCAGGGCTCTGGCAGAGCAGCAGCTGCCCTCCTCCGCCCCAGGAAATCACTGGTATGGCAGAAAAACCACTGTACCAGCTGTTACTACTGTTTTTGAAGAGGTGAGACTTGTCTTAGTGAGAAAAGCAAATCAAAGACATATCACCATAGATTTGGTTTTGTTTGATCGGCATTCAGCACTAATCCCCAGATTTAACCTTATCTATACTGTCTCTGAGACCTTCTTTCCCATTGCAGCCACCACCTGCCCCGTGCTCAGTGCTCCAGTCCGAGGAGACCTGAACTGCTCCCACCTCCATGGGAACTTCACCTTTGGCTCCACGTGTGCCTTCTCCTGCCAGACGGGGTTTGCACTGATGGGATCAGAGAGCCGCGAGTGCACGGCCACAGGGACTTGGACAGGGGATGCCCCACAATGTGAAGGTAGAGCTGCTGTTGGAGCTCAGGGTGTTATTGGCCTTGGGGTGACACTAGGACGTTTCTCAGCCTCTTTCCCAGCAGTTTAGTCTCCCAGTCCCCAGGCTCCTGCTTGAAGTGTGCCTCTTTGCTTTGCAGCCATCGCCTGCCCAGAGCTCAGCGCTCCAGACTGGGGAGAGCTGAACTGCTCCCACCCCCATGGGGACTTTGCCTTCAGCTCCATGTGTGTCTTCTCGTGCCAAACGGGATTTGTACTAGTGGGGCCAGAGAGCCGTGAGTGCATGGCCACAGGGACCTGGACTGGGGACTCTCCACAATGTAAAGGTAGAGTTGTTGCTCAAGGTGTCACAGGCCTTGGATTGACCCTAGAATGTTCTTGAGTGTCTTGGTTCTTTTGTCCCAACAGTTAGTTGGGACAACTATTATTAGTCTCATAATCCTCAGGCTCCTGCCTGAAGTTTATTTTTATCCCTGCAGCCATCACCTGCCCAGTGCTCAGCACGCCAGACTGGGGAGAGCTGAACTGCTCCCACCTCCACGGGGACTTTGCCTTTGGCTCCACATGTGCCTTCTTCTGCCAGACGGGGTTTGCACTGATAGGGTCAGAGAGCCGCAAGTGCATGGCCACAGGGACCTGGACTGGGGATGCCCCACACTGTGAAGGTAGAGCTGCTGCTAGAGCTCAAGGTGTCACTGATCTTGAGGTGACACTAGGATGTTCCCCAGCCTCTGGGTCCCAACAGTTCAGCCTTGTAGTTGCCAGGCTCCTGCTTGAAGTGTATCTCTATCCCCGCAGCCATCATGTGCCCGGTGCTCAGTGCTCCAGAGCGGGGAGAGCTGAACTGCTCCCACCTCCACGGGGACTTTGCCTTTGGCTCCATGTGTGTCTTCTCCTGCCAGACGGGGTTTGCACTGACAGGGCCAGAGAGCCGCAACTGCACAGCCACAGGGACCTGGACTGGGGATGCCCCACGATGTGAAGGTAGAGATGCTGCTAGAGCTACTGGTGTCACTGATCTTGGGGAACATCCTAGTGTCACCCCAGCTTCTCAGTCCCAGCAGTTTAGTCTCCCAGTCCCCAGGCTCCTGCTTGGAGTGTGTCTCTACCTCTGCAGCCATCACCTGTCCAGTGCTCAGTGCTCCAGACTGGGGAGAGCTGAACTGCTCCCATCTCCACGGGAACTTCACCTTTGGCTCTACATGTGCGTTCTCCTGCCAGACGGGGTTTGCACTGATGGGGCCAGAGAGCCACGAGTGCACAGCCACAGGGATTTGGACAGGGGATGCCTCACGATGCGAAGGTAGAGTTGCTGCTGAAGGTGTTACAAACTTGGGTTGACCCTAGGATGTTCTCGAGTGTCTTGGTCCTCTCATCCTAACAGTTTAGTCTCCCAGTCCCCAGGCTCCTGCTTGAAGTGTGCCTCTTTACCCTGCAGCCATCACCTGCCCAGCGCTCAGCGTGCCAGACTGGGGAGAGCTGAACTGCTCCCACCCCCATGGGGACTTCGCCTTCAGTTCCACATGTGCGTTCTCGTGCCAAATGGGATTTGCATTAGTGGGGCCAGAGCGCCGCGAGTGCACGGCCACAGGGACCTGGACTGGGGACTCTCCACAATGTAAAGGTAGAGTTGTTGCTCAAGGTGTCACAGGCCTTGGGTTGACCCTAGGATATTCTCAAGTGTCTGGTCCTTGTGGCCCAACAGTTTAGTTTCATAATCCCCAGGCTTTCGTTTGAAGTGTATTTTTTTATCCCTGCAGCCATCACCTGCCCAGTGCTCAGTGCTCCACTCAGAGGAGACCTGAACTGCTCCCACCTCCACGGGGACTTTGCCTTTGGCTCCACATGTGCCTTCTCCTGCCAGATGGGGTTTGCATCGATAGGGTCGGAGAGACGTGAGTGCACGGCCACAGGGACCTGGACTGGGGATGCCCCACACTGTGAAGGTAGAGCTGCTGCTCAGAGTGTCATTGGCCTTGGGGTGACACTAGGATGTTCCTCAGCCTCTGGGTCCCCACAGTGTAATCTCCCAGGCTCCCTTCTGAAGTGTATCTCTTTAACCTTGCAGCCATCAAATGCTCAGCACTGGCCACCCCCGAGATGGGCCATGCTGCCTGCTCCCACCTCCATGGAGACTTTGCGTTCGGCTCCACATGTGCCTTCTCCTGCCAGACAGGGTTTGTGCTGATGGGGCCAGAGAGCCGCGAGTGCACAGCCGCAGGGACCTGGACTGGGGATGCCCCACAGTGCAAAGGTAGATCTCGTGATCACACATGTGTCACAGTGCTCTGTTGTCGCAGACTGATTTCCTTAGCACCCCTAGTCCATGGCAGGTCATCCCCTGGCTCCCCAGCCCACATGTCCCCAACCCACCACCATCAGTCCTGTCCTGTTGATGCTACTGCTGTGCTTTATGTCCAGCCATCAGCTGCCCAGTGCTGGACCCCCCCAGCAGAGGCCAACTGAACTGCTCTCATGTGCACGGGAACTTCACATACAACTCCACATGCACGTTTTCCTGCGAGGAAGGCTTTGTTCGGATGGGAGCAGAGGTGCTCCATTGCACGGCCACAGGGAACTGGACCAGGCATCCCCCTGTCTGCGCAGGTACGGAGGGACCCCCGCACCCCCAGCGCTGGGGGGTTCGGCCTCCTGCAGCACATCTTGATCGTGGTGAGGGGCATCCCAACAGCTGGGGTGCTGTGAAGTCCTTCTGACAACTTTCTAACCTGTGGGTCTGCGGATCTGTTTCAGAGGACAGTGCCCCCTTCTTAAAGCAAGTTCTGGCTTACAGCAGTGGCACGGCTCTGGCGGTAGCTGGCATCGTGCTCTTGGGGACGCTCATTGCCCTCCTCGCCAAGCGGCTCAGTGACAGAGGTACAGAAACACCTCCCGCAGCTCCCTGTCGCTTTGGCCAGGGGCTCTCAGACCAGGGGGTTACAGAGTCCAGGGTAGGGTGGGATGACCACAAGAGTTTAACACTGTGGCTGCCTCAATCCATGTGTTTCAATTGCTGTGAGTTGCTTTGGTCTGGCAGCACCTCCTTGACAGTTTGGCCAGCTGGAAGTGTCAGCAGACAGGTTTGGAGAGCAGAGCCAGAAAAATTCCCTATTTGCAAAGGGGAAGAAGGCAATGGTTCCAGCTCCCCCTCCCTGCTCCATCCCGTGCTTGTTGAACTTGGTTCAATTTCAGACGCTGCTGCTGCAGCTTCTCCAGTCCTTCACTAAACAAACCTGGTTCTTTCTTTTCTATCTGTACTACCCACGTGGACATTTTGACACTGTTACCAGAGGAGAAGAAGAAGCTCCTGAACCCCACCAGGTGAGAGCTGTGCTCTGCAGGAGGGTGGCTCTGGCCCGTGCCCGTCACAGCCCTGCGGTCACCTCATGTCACCCAGATCTGCCTGCGTGAGGCTGCCTTTACACACAGCGGCAGCATCTTTGGGGCGGACAGGGCTGTGCTAACCCCTGCCCTTCACACTCCGGACCTCTCCCCCAAGGTGACATCCTTGTATGTTTTCCAGTGACCTTGGATCGCCGGGCATCTTCACCAACGCAGCGTACGATGCAAACCTCTAAGGTGGGTGCTGGGGAGACACTCGCAGCACCCTGCACTCTTGCAGCGTGCTGGAAACGTTCCCCCCTGCGTCTGCTGGGAGCCACGTGTGGAAAATCCCCCTGGGCAGCTATCCTCCTGGATGGGGTGCTCCCAGGCTGGGGACACCCCTTGGGAAGGGAAGGGGGAGACCGGCTGCTTTCTGTGCTGCACCGAAGGGAGTAACAC